TGGCTGCAACAGAGTTGTATGCAGAGCATTTGGCTGGTTTATGTTTTTGTTCTAAACTTTTTTTTTGTTGTAAAAACGTGATCAGCAGTGACACCAGGGCACAAGACCAAAGGCAACGAGACAGCGGCCGTGGCCCAGCCACAGCTCTGAGTTGGGGGTGTTCAACCGAGCCCATCTGGGCTGAGGACAGGCCTGGTTTGGTGCTCGAGGTGCAGATGCTGGTCTGCTTTGGTGGTGGCAGACGTGGATTTGTGTGTGTGGAGGGTTCACATCTCATGCTCTTTCTCCTGTGGGATTACTGCTTGCTTCCTCTTGCAGGCCCAGGGATGGCAGAGACTATATAGCACACCATTACTGCTTCACTTTTTTATCTTGCCTATTTACATTTATGTATTTATTTGCATTTTATATATAGCATATGTAATATATATAATGTGAATATATATTATTTATGTATTATATTTAATAATAAATATTGTAAATATTACATATTTACGGATGTAACAGCCTTCTCAATGCTTAGGGCAGCTTGGCTGTGAAATCTGAACTTGGGTCTCCACTGATGTGCCAACTGCACATCTAGTGCTTTACGGGAATGGGATTTTACATCAGTCATTGAGGTGGGTCATTCATTTCGACATTATCTCTTGTTGGACAATTCACTTAGTGGCCTTATTAGTAGCTGAACCCATTACAGAAGTGTGTTGATGCTCAAGAAAAAGTAATTGAGGCTCATGAAAATATAGATCCACACTGAAAAATAAGATCTGCAGCGCTACTGGAATGATGATTTAAGATCTGCACTAAAATATTCAGCTGCTGAGCAGGCTCCCATGGTCATAAAAATTCTCCATTGTACAGGTATTTTTCATGTCAGAACGAGAGACTGCTGAGGGATGTCACCAGAATAAAACTTACCTGTCAAACTGTGACCTTTATCTCAGCAGCTCACCTCATGTGAGAAAAGAATTTTTTAAAAAAATGCTTCCTGTGAAGTGGGATTTAGAAAATCCTCCCTACAAGATGGGCTGTGCTCCAGGGCTCGCAGCACTGTCACCCTCTGTGATCCAGGCAAGCCCTGGGGTGTTTCTGCTTCAGCCAAATCTCCCAACACTGAAGAAGCAAGGGGTGGCTTCCTGAGCGTGCTGTTCGCCTTTGGAAAATGGGTTCTAGTGCTAGAAACATCCATTTGGGTCGTTCCAGCTGCTTTGGATCAATGCCCCGTACCTGCCTAAGCTGGTGAGGTTTTTATCTTGAGGCACTGGGTCATGTCTCTTAAGAAGATTGAGAGGAATTAAGTTTCCTGGCTCAGCTCGGATCACTTCCAAGCGGCTGACAAATTTTAGGGCGTTCTGTGTGGCAGTTACTGGAAAGAGCTGAGATCTGCTGAGGATGGACTGGACCCATAAAAATGTTCTTCCTACTTAAGGCAATTTCTATTTTAACTGCAGCTCCCAACTTAATGGTGGCAGATTTATACATGGGACCATTCATCTCTGTCTTGCTTTATACTCAAGTAGCTTCACTAAATTGATACTGGGCATCTGAATGAGGGGAAAAAAGAGTAAAAATAACAAGAAAAAAGGCAGCAACATCAAAGAAAGCCCTGGCACACTGCTCCTCAGGTTGCCTTAATTAGCTGGGGCATTTAAAAGTATTTAATGTGGATATAGCTTATGAAAGAAAGGATGGTGCTTCCTTCTGGGAAATTTGTATTTTTTTTTCCCTCTATGAGGGCTAGGAGTGTGCCAATTTAGAGCAGGAAAAAAAACATTTCATATTGAAATCTGCAGATAAAGTAATGTATTTTGAGGGTAAGAGGTAGCTTCAAGGAGAGTGGATAGGCAGGAAGCAGCAGAGTGGAAGCAGACTGCACTATAAAAAGGAAGAGCATTTTAGGAAGAGAAAAGCCAAATATCTAGGGATATTTTCTTCTTAAAACTGATACATGAGCATCATATACTCATATAATAAACAAGTATGTTAAGATTATTTCATGCGGAGCAGGGCAGAGGCCCTTGCTCTGTTTTTAGTGAGGGGAGTCAGGATTCAACCCAGGGATGTAGTCCCGAGCGTGGCACAGGTGCCCTGGGGCTGCTGGCACCTTGGGGGAACGTGCATTTGATGAGGGTGGCACTGGACACTGGGAGTCTGCTGGAGATTTTGGGCACTAAATGCAGGGCCGCCTAAGCGCTGAGTTTTGCAGTTTTGTGTACACCATGAGATGCCGAGCGGCACATCCCCACCTGGAAACGTCCCTAGGGAAGGGCCTTGGTTCTGCACCCAGCCCTGACTCCGTTTGGGCTGTAGTTGTGTGGGGAATTTCACAGCAATCTTACCCGGCTTTTCTCCAGTCTCTGGATGTGATGGAACAACTGGAAGGTAATTTTTGCCTTTTTGAAACAAGATTGCTGATGAAATTTTAAATATTTCACGTTGTGGAACAGTTTTTCTTTGCTTACTTAGCATGATTGCCCCAAGCCCTGCAGGAAGATGTGCTCTCACCACAATGTCATTAAACAACGTTTTCTCCTGGTGGGTTTATTCGCTCCTTCTCTCCTCCATGAGGTATCTACTTGCCCCCAGTATTAAGGGGAACCATGTCGCTTTGGAGGGGATGGAGGGCAATGCTGAGTTGATTCCCTGCCCTAGGCAAGCACAAAGAGGCAAAAACATTGATGAAGAACTCTCATAAACAAACACATGTAAAGACCTTCCTCGAGGTAAGCTTTGGTGATTTCTTATATTTGGTTCTTTCTCATAATTCAGCTCAGCCTCTGAAGGGAAGTGGTGGATGTGGCTTGCAGGAAAGCGCAGTGAGGGAGCAGTACGGATCTGGGATTCAGGAATGCAACGCGTGCACACTCGGGTGAGTGGTGAATTTGCAGTTATCGCCAAACTACAGAGCACCATTTCCAAAACCCACTGTGTCTCATGGACTCACCACTTAGGCAGATTACAGAGTCCCAGTCCACCCACTGTCAACCTTCTTCCTGCTGAAAATAACACAGGGAGGAGGGGGAAAAAAAACAAAAAGGAAAATTCTGCCTCTCAAGGGGAAAGCGGGTCTGTATATTGTCATGACACATCCCTATTTGGGAGAAATAGGGATAGCACTAAACTCACCTGTGTTTGATTAGAGTTAGCTGCATCTGGAAAAATGACTTAGTTAATCAGAAGTGGAAGATATAGGTCTAAGCAGATATTTATTTATTTAATTTTGCCAGCTAAAAGCTGCAGCTGACTGAAATGCAAATACCAATCTGCTCTCCCTAGGCAATTTTTAATTCTTCATGAAAGTAAATTGGAATATAAATCACATTTAGAATTCATATCCATAATTCTATAAATCAGTTTCTATCTGAAATGTGGACATTTGCATGTACAAAAAAGGGGCTTTCCTCTCCTCACAAGGTTTGTGTGTATTAAGAGTCCTCTGCAAAAAAAACAAATTAACCCAGAATGTTATTTTGGCTTCTTGTGTTTCCATTTGTGGGGGGAGGAATCATCTGACTCCAGGAAATAAAAGAAACGCATAAGGAATTTAAAGCAAATCATACATTTACAGAAGAACTCTCCTGTACTTTTACTAAACAAGACTCTGTCAGGAAATCCAACTGAACCTGTAAAGCCCATTTTGGGTAAAAATCCAAGTATTGTTGAAATTTATTATCAGTTGTCAGTCCTGATTTCCACATGCTCCTTTCTCATTGAGGGAAGGAAAAGGGAGATATGGCCAAGAAATGAGGAGCAGCTGTGAGAGGCAGCAAATCATGGTCACATTTGTTCATTAATGTCATCATTTAGATTTATTAGGGCATTGGGGATCCAGAGAAGCAGACAGGCAGATGTCTGTGAGGGCCTTTAAAAGTATATATCTGCCTGACTTGGTTAATAACAACTGATTATCCTAGAGAGCCAGTTAACTTTTGGGTTTCTTAAAGCCCACAAGCCATTTTTGGGTGGGGGGCTTATGGTCTTAAGTATGTTGAAAATTTTTCCTGGTAGGTCTCCCTTGCCTGAAAAAATCAGACAGATCCAGCAAAAAAAAAAAGGCCAAATGGGTATTAAGATGTCTATAATGTCATTTTTAATTTACTTAACTATAAAGGCCCTAGTGAGGCGTAATTTGCTACACTGTAAGGCTCATATTAAAAATTCTTGGCTTTGATTTGATTTAACCTCATTCTGACATAGGTCTGTAAAGCAAATGAATATCTTGCAACAAAAAAGAGAAGACGTGTTATGATATTGTAGGAGAGAAAAAAATCAGTATGAGGTAGTTTTGAGCACACAGTTTGAAGCCCCTTGAAGGCAGTTTGCAGCGGCTGAAGTGAGGCCCTTTTAAGCTTCCTCCAGCTGTGCAGAGGGACCCCGGTGCGGTGACGGAGCCGTGCTGGCCCGGGCGGCCGCTCTGCTCCGCTCCGCGCCGTGGCGCGTGCAGGCCCATCGCGGGGACGGCGCCCTGCCATGCACGTCAGGGCCGGCTCCTCACCGTGTGGTGCTGCCCTCTGCCACAGCAGGAGCTGAGGACGGGGCAGCGCTGCCCACAGCCCGAGTCCCCAGGTGTCAGGTTGGGAATGGCCCACAGGGGAGGCCGAGTCCACGCGCAAGCTGAGATTTGTGGTGGAGGCACCAGGGAGCAGAATTTGGCTCAGGAAAGGAGAGGGAGAAGTGGAGGAGACAAGAAAAGCTCTGTACAGGACGTCCTCAGAGGTGTTTATCCTGCAAAAGGAGATGAACTGATAACCAGCCGTATCACTGGAATCAACTGAAACAACTGCAGCAAATGCGGAGCTCGACCTTCCTCACTGCCCCCAGCAAAAGCACTTGCAGTGATCACAGTTTATTTAGGTTCTCTTTTCTTGAACACCAAGTACTTGCTCAACTGAATTTCCTGTTGTTGTGTAAGGGGGAAAAAAATTATGGGGCAAAATGGATAAATGTTCCCCCCATCTCGGGTCTACTGAGAGGATCTCTTTTTGTTTTAAATCCTACAGAAATGAGACCAAGTCTTATAAAAGTTATCCAGTCACTGGAACATTTAATGCTTAAGCATCTGTGTTGCTTGAAAATCCATTAATTCTTTTTTGGTAGTTTTTCTAGATAGGATAGTGATGGAAAAATCAAATCCATAGACAGGTCCACACCTTTGCAGTCACACTAAAAGGATGAACTGGAAGGAAAAAAAAAAAAAAAAAAAAAAATAAGGACAGTACAAGATTTTTTTTTTTTTCTGGAAATATTTATATTCTGAGAACATATATTTTAAAAAAAATAACTCCTAAGTAATAAGTCCTGGTAGATTTATACAGAAATGTCTGTGGGTGAGTAACATTCTTCGACCTAAGGGCCTGCCTCCGAGTTTAATACCAGTGAGGAGTAAGGGGAGGAGGGGGGAACAAGAGGGAAAAGAGTCTGGCTTTGTTTCATATTCAGGGCATGTCTCCACTGCCTTATTATCACTTCAGAAAGTCTGGGCCCATCAGTGCTTTCATTACGCAATAATTTCCTCCCCCAAGAATTTATAATTCTGCCATTTTAATTTGTTTGGGGGACACTTGGCAGCCTGACTCCGTATCGGAGAGAAAATTTGTTTTATTAAAGAAATATCTATAAGCAGTTAATCTAGCAACTTTATTCTAGACCTTGAGAGGTCAATGCATAATTTAGAAGTTTTCAGATTCCATCCTGATTGCTTCTCGCCCAAAGACAACCTCCCTTACATGAACTTGCTTTTCTAGTGCTGATGTCCCCTTTTAATCATCAGAACGGTTGCCAGAGCCCTGGACACTTGGTGTCAGCCCTTGCTAGATCCTGTTTCCTATAGGAAGGCGGAGGAAGGTGGAGTAGATGTAGCCCCATGTGTCAGGCTGAGATCAAAGCTGGTTCAACCCCATGAAGGGTTTGAGTTGAGGGGACCACAGTGCCCCTGTGCAGGCAGTAGTTCTAATCCTGGCACTGGGGTGGCTCCTGGGAAGGAAGGAGGGAATTAAAGGCAACTGGGGAATAGAAATCAAGCTGGGAGTGGGTTTGAAATACGAATGCGGCCATGTGAAATTGCAGTGTCATTGACTGTGCTTTATAGAAACCAACTCCTTGGGAGTCTGCTCAGGGGCTGCTAAAATTAATAGAAAGATCCCCAAAGGTCTCAGGTCTGTGCCATGGCAGTGCTATTTCAAACTGACACAGTATTTCCAGGAGAAGGGGAGCGAACGGCAGCTGCAGCCCTGCAGGCCTTTGCTGTGCAAAACCCCTCCTGATTTACAGCCTTCTCCACGTGGAAGCGTTGTAGAGAGGAATCCTGTAGCTTAGGAATAAGAAGTAAAGCCCAGTGTTATCATTCACAGCTTCGGTCCCCTTTCCATGAATAAATGCTTTATTTTTATTGCATTTGTTTTGCTGGTCTTTAAGGAGCCCGACAATTAGGTGGTCAGGGAGAGCAGAGGCATAAAGGAAATCGAGCTCTTTCACAGCTAGTTCACAGAGGCTCCTCTGTCCTGTGCCGCTCTGGAGAGAGGCTCCTATTAGATGGCTCCTATTAGGAGTGCAGGGAATGAAGCTTTGAAACACTGTTATTTCATCTTTATAAGAGACATAATGAAGTCACTTCAGATGTCAGTGTTCAATGCGACACATGAGATCTCCTGGTAAAGTGATGCCCATTCAAATTGAAAAAATAGCAATGAACTACAAAAACTCTCCACTGTGTTTCAAGGGCATAATGTTATTACAGAAATCAGCTTTGAAAAGACCTAATTCTTTTTTTTCTTTTTTTTTTAAATGAAAGAATTTGCCAGATTTAAAGGCATGTGCCTCAGTTCCTTGAGAACCCCCTGAAACTGTTTTCATTTTTTTTTAAGCTTTACCCCAAAAGATGTGAAGCCATCTTTTAAGGATGAATTATTTCTGATGCATTTTAGCAGCTAAAATTTTACCAAATGATTTGTATATATATTTTTTTCTCCATCCAATCCTTACTTATGCAAAATTCACATCAGACAAGTCTTCCTCATTATCAGTGCTATAAATTAGAAGAGCTTGAGTTAGGTGTTAAGAAAGTAACTCACTTCAAACATTTTTCAAAAATTTTACACAATTTCTTTTATTTGGTGTTTAGGTTGTCCTGGTTCATTTTGAAGTTCTTCCTTCACTGCCCACGATAATAGCTAGAAAATTCCCTTAAGAAAACAAAACAAAATCCAACTTTTCTCATAGAGCCTCCCAGTGCCCCCTTATCCTCAATTGCGCAGCTGTGAGGCGCAATTGCAGGGCTCTGTGTCACCTCACGTAATTTTAGGCTTCTGCAGTTGAGCTATACCTCTGAACTGGTTGTCTAGTATCCTCTTGCAATCAATGGAGAGAAGGCAGCAAGATTAATCTCACTTGTCTAACAAGTCTACTTTAGGAGGAGAGGAATTGTGTCCTACAGGTGCTATTTCTCTCCGTCAGCTATAAAATAAAGTCTAAATACACCATTTAGAGGCAGATGTCTCACTTAAGTGAGACGAATCCCACTACAACATGTACAGGAGAACATGAGGGTGGGCAACACTGTCTTTCTCAGACTCCTTTATGTTTCCGAATTCCCTTGTGTGCCCATGCTAGTTTTTTTTTTCCAATTTGCGCTTGTTTCCTAAGCATGATTTACAGTTCCTTAATATCATTGCAGGTTTTCGGCTCCAAGCCTTTAATGAGTGTCTTGGGCAGCAATGGCAGGTGCGGGCAGAAGATACAGGGCAGATTGCTGCCATGGCCAGGGAGTAGCTGGGCTGCACAGGGGGTTGCCCTTGGCCTTTCTGTTCCCTGCACGTGAACTGGCCTTGCAGGAGGGCTGCGTGATGAGGTAAAGAGCAGGGAATTGGTGCTGACTGTATCTCCACCTCTTCTCCATGCAACCTTGGATTATTTATATGGGACCAGGAGGGGCAGGGCAGTAGGCAGTACCAGCTCCTAAGTGGAAGAGAATGGGTGAGAGCGAACACCCTAGCAGGCAGGCAGTGGTAGATGGAGGTGTGAGAAGCCAGGTGACACCAGCACATCTCTGGGAAGCAGCTGACTCATCAGTCCAAAGTAAAAGGGCTGTATTTCCCCATGTAGGTGCTTTTTTGCTTTCTCTATTTGCATGAGCAGTCGCAGGGCTGAACTAGATTCAAAAGCATAAACCTGTCATTGCTAAAAGACCAAATCATGTTAACTTAGAGGTTGCAGCAGAGTAATAAATCTTTAAGCGGTCTAGCCAGAAAAAGACAAGAGAATGGAGTCATGTGCACACTTAAGAAGATGGTCTCTAAACATATGTTTTATGTGGATACATAAAACTAAGTATATGTCTGAATTAGATATATAGGATGTAAAGGTACCTGCACAAAAATGCATACATCATATGTGTATGAGATTTAAAAGTAGATACGCTTATCTATTCAGCTCCATGAAAATCTGTAGAAAGAGACTTCTTCAGTAAGGCTGGAGGTTCTCCAAAACTTTAAAAAATGCCCTTGGCCATTGAACTCTTTTAAAAGTTTATTCCAAAATGGCTTTAAGACAGTACTCTGAATGACTAACCAATGTCTTATTTTGTAGGCTTTGGAGTGAAAACTGCTTCCAGGACAAACAAAAGCATAAACATTTTTGTCAGTATACTGCTCTGATGACCCACCTGGATTTTTTTAACAGTTTTGATAATATTATAACGAGTGCCATAGCGTTATGACAAATGATTTCACATAATTCCACATCTCAGTTTTCTGCCACAGCTGCTGCAGTAATCCAGCAAAAACCACTATCAAGGTGGCAAGATGCCAGGTGAAAACGGCAGTCGGGGGGTTCACTGAGAGCCTGGAGATCCAGGAGGAGAAGTTGCCTCACTGCACTGCACCTCAGCTGCCCATGCAGCTCCAAGGCCCCAACATGTAGCTTGTTGGGAAGGGGAAAAAGCGAGAGGAGGAAGAGGACAGACTGGGCATTGGTTATTACAGGGCTTCCTGGCAAGCGGTCAGGTTAGTCAAGAATTTAGCCAATCTCAGGCTGCTAATGCTTTGAAGAAATGATAATAAATTAAAACTACATACAATACAACAATTAAGGGCCCAACTGAAAAGTGCTGAATGCAAAGTTATAAGTGGCTGATTTCCCACCTGTGAAGGTTGGGGGAGAAATGTGCAAAACAAAATAAACAAAAAAAAAACCAAAACAGAAAAGACAAAAAAAAACAAACTAATGACCGACCTCATAATCCGAGGAGAGATGTTCCCATCCTTTGCTTGTGTCCTGACAGACTGTACTTGGTCATATACACTGAGGCCTATCAGTCCTACACAGAGTTTCTGGTACTTTCTGGTGAACAGAAGACTAGGCTATGCACGAATCCCAGCCTGGATACAGAATAATGCCATGTAGCTCCATATTATTTCCTGGAAGCTGACAAAAGGAGTTGATGCTAATAACTGTCAATACGTGCATATGAACGGTTTTACCTTTTTTTTAATTCTTTTGTGTTTTTTTTTTTATAGAAAGGGCATTATTCATGAGGTCCTCTACTGATGATCACAAGTGAGTCGGAGAAGCGAGGGGTTTTATGTGAAGGAAATGGTCCTCAGAGCCTTTGGTCCTCTGACGGTCAGTGCTACCTCACTTTCTGCAGCTCTTGTCTCAGCCATGACGGCAGCGGCTGGCCCAGTCTGTGCAGCAGTTTGGACAGTTCCACGTTGTGGTCTCGGTAGTAGCTCGACAGAAAAGCTCGAGACTGAGAGCAGCGAAAAAATAAAACACAGTCAAGCAATCAAGGCCACTTCACGCTAGGTTTTGGCATCCATTTGTATCAGATTGCTACAAGAAACATGTTGGCCCCTCTTAATGCCTGGGACCTGAGCTCTGCTACTACACAGACGCTGTTTTAAAGGGTGATTAATCTCAAATTATTCATAGCTCATTAAAAGCTTCTGGTTTTAAAAATATCAAACTAACCAAAAATAAAAACAAATGTGTTTACTTCAGTAGTCAAATACACTATTCAACATACCCATACTCAGCAATTTTAATGTAAGTCTCTGGAAAACCTTTACCTCTTGATCCATTGGTGGGTATTTTCGACCTTTGCTTTTTCCCAGGCACTTTGTTTTCCCTCCTTCCAGTAACTGGCACCAAAACCCTTTTTGAGGGTCAAACCTGTAAAGTATTATACTTTAAGAAAGTCTAACTATGAAAGAATTGCCAAGCTGCAAAAACATCACTATTAAACACCAATTTTTGCTGCACACCTGTCTTTATATAACAGAGATATTGAGAACTAAGTGGGAAATGGTGTTCCTCTCCTCTGACATCTTGGGCGATTTCATATTTTCCAGAAACTTACCTCAGAAAGGACCACATTTTTCACATGTTCTCTACCTGTAATAGCTACTTGATTATTGTACTGCTCCAGGACACAGGACCTAGGACACCAAATTCAAGCATTGATCTATTTGCTGCTGGTCAAGGCTCCGAACCTTAGTCTCCAGGATGCTACGTGGCTTTCTTGCAGACTCTCATTTGTGGGTTTTTTGCCTGCTTTTGATCAGAGATTTCATTCCTGTCAGACTGCACTGTGCATCCCTGCAGAATGTTTAAGTTTTGATTCACTGACACTTCAAATAATGATTTTTTTTTCACAAAATTACTAAGCAGATATTTTTGTGGACTTGTATGCACTATGTTCTTCAGAATATAAGATGTGCTTGGGGAAACATCTCCATACAGCCAAGAAAAGACAGTATTGTTGCAGGTCAGTACTGTTAATTGGAGAGAGGTTTAAAAGAAAAAGCTTTTGCCTTTGCAAAAGACGTAGATTCAGGCTTTTGCTGTGCAAATATGAGAGGTGTGTTATTGTGCTGTGACTATGAAACTATGAGAAATATAATACCGTGAAATAAGCAGTACTGAAGTCCTCTGAAAGGATGGATCATCCTTCTGGATGTTTGTTGATAAGCTAACTGCACCCGCGAAGCTGGTTGCTCCATATCATTAGCTCGAAATCTCATTTTCATGCCAAAGATGGCATTCTAGCATAAACAGTGTCTAAACCATTCTAGCAAAAATATAAAATTTGATTTTGATGTCTAAAATGCAAAGACATAGGCATTTTAGATTGAGGCATTAAAATCCAAACTCACTGAGGAACGAACAATGTGAAATGTTAAATTTTGAATTTATTGCTGTGGGACTGACAGCATGCATAAAACATTGAAAAGGTTTGCATTTTTGCTGTCCAGCAGATGTTTGAAAAGGATGAAATATAATTGGCTGGAACATGGAGTTAATTAATTGCAGGCCACTTTTTGCCCTGGGTCCATCCATAGGGCACTGTTGCACCTGCACTTTGCTACTGTACATATGCCAACTAATTTCTGGGAAAGACTGAACCTTCTTCACATTTCCATGCTCAGCCTATTACTGCAGGCCTAGCCCTTCTTTCCTAAACTGTCCCAGTAGCTGCATCAATTAAAAATAAATAAATCATTATTAAACGAATGTATTCATGGTAGATTCGTTTCTACTTTGGCCTTTTCAATCTGCTTATTGCATAGTGAAGTATTTCAGCTGACTCGCACTAATTTCCCAGGAGAAGAAGCAATACAGTGCACTGTGCAATGGGAAAACTGAGAATCTATGCCCCAAACAATATTTCTGCCTCAGAATGAGTATATTGAACATTATTAAGAAGATGTGCAAATCCTGTGCAAATTCAGATGGGGGAAAAGTAGGTAAGATGACTCAGGCTGAGTTCAACTGACTGTGTTCAGTATTAATTACAGTATGACTTCTGAAAACTTAATTTTACACAATGGAAATCCTTAAAATATTTAAAAATGGTTTCATAATAATAATTTAAATGATAATTTGAAAGTACTGTTAGCCTTATGGTTAAATGTTTCTTAAAGAAACTATTGCTCCAGTCCTGGCCATGTTCTCTTCCCCCTGGCCAGCACAAGTGTCTTCCTTGGCCTTCCTCGCTCGGAGTGGGCATATTTCACAAAGTAGGCGAATACCGTCATGGGGAAGCATGGATGAGGAACTGAGGTCGAGGAAAATACGAGGCTTCCCTCTTCTATGAGAAGAGGGAGAAATATCTATGAGAAACATTACAGGCAAGAATGTGTCTGCGAGAGTGCCAAGGATGTTCCTGAGATCTGTTTGCACCCTAATGCAGATGGTTGTCCTCTTCCAAGACCCTCCTCCCTGTTGCTGGGAAAGCTCCCTCCTGCCTGGTCCGTGGCAGGGCTTAGCTCCCCAGGACCAAGCCCCTGTCTGTAACAAGCCCAGCTTTCGTCTCTGCTGCTTCACGCACACACACGAAGGAGTTTTGCCCTGCATTTAGCAGTTTCTTGAGATGAGTTTTGCTGCTCATTTGAGCTGGAGCTGATGTTCCCTTGACTGCAGGGGGCCCCAGGCATCTCCCTGGAAAAGACTAAAGCAGCCGTGTCAGGAGAATTATTTTCCTATTCCCCAGTGAAACGTAGCAGTGCTCCAGGAGAAAGCATCTGCTTAGGCACACACGTCCAGTCCTGCTGCTCCCTGTCTCTTCCTTTCCCTCCTGTTGCTCATTTGCAGGGGAACGCAGTGCCAGGGAGAGGCTCCGTGCTGTGGCACAAGGC